TCACTTGAAATAATCCTATGTAGACCAAAGGAAGAAAAACCAAATATCATCTACAAAATAAATTGCTCAGACTGAGAAAAACACTACATAAGACAAAGTGGACGGCTTCTTTAGCTTCGTTTACGTGAACACCAATTAGCAGTCGAACGCTTATATCATTACATACGTACAATTATGGACATACAGTCGATTGGGACAATGTGGAAATACTGGATAGGGGGAGGATAAAGAACACTGGAGAATTTTTAGAAGCTTGGCACTCAGGTCAATCAGCAATCAACAAACACATCGACATTAGCTCAATTTATCAACCAATCAGAAATATCATACGTGACATAGGATCAAGAGACAAATCAAAAGGGGGATACAATCAAAGCGAATGTGCAAATAACTACAGGTTTAAGGTCAACAACAACCAATCAAGATCGAGGTTAACACAACAAGCTACAGTTGTGGAGAAATTCGAATACATCACTTCTATGTGAAGTTTGTCTTGATGATGTTGTTCAGGAGAACAATGAAAGCTCCACAACCAAAGCATTCAGCTCAGAGAACCAAACACCACCACCACAATCATCCACCTGAGCTACAAATTTTCTCCACTATCTCATAAGTAAGAAAAACCAAACTGAGAAAAAACCATCCATGACAACGTTGTGGTGAATTGTGATATATTTAATTGAAATACTTCATTAGACTAGAGTTTCCTACTTTACAGAGACTGTTTAACCATGGTTCGTACAATCATTCTTGTCTGAATGATTCAGCAAGAGTATTAGAATCTGTGCAATGAGTGTTACTCACAAAGTGACATATGAATAGTATGCATTGTAGAGTCGCTTGGAAGTTGCTACCGATGTGGAGTGTCTGGAGATCGAAATACATATCATGATCAGTGTATTTTGAAGATCAGAAGGGATGTGAGAGTAGACAGTCAAAACGTTGCCTGTATTGCAAATGGATGATTGACTATGGTGTACATATTTCATGAGAAGACTGTCTTCTCCAAATACATGATGTTATCTGATCATTACTTCCGCGTTCGTCACACTGTGTTAAGAGCTTTAATCAACCGCGCCAATTTTTAGTCCATTTGAAAAGAGTTTGTTTTGAAACGAAACACAAATATACTGCCAATTGTAAAGAGATTCTACATTTTCAATCAACCTATTGAAGTCTTCCACAGATTACACTGTTTGAAAGTTAAAAATCACTGATACATGGATCCCTCAACATCCATACTGACTTTGATGTTCCCGAATTGTTCTTGTTGAGAGTTAGAGCTAAGAGTAATTTTAATGTTAGGATAGTATTCATTAAATATCCTAAAGAAATTATTTTGTAAGTCTAATTCTATTGGTCGATTCCTATTGGTTAATATTTAAGGTCGTCCTAAACTATCAACCTCACATACTTTAAATGTTGTTTCCTATTGGTTAGTATGCACGGTTGACCTAACCGTATAAATATGCGTTGTCTGTAAAGTTTTATGCTACTCTTCTTCTTCTTCTGTACAAAACCATCATATTTTCTGGGTGCTTGTAGAATACACTTTCTACGCGATATCAGGACTTCTTCCTCTGCGTAGTGGGTTCTTGGGACGCTTTGATTAAAGTAGCCTATCGTGTCACTGGATCATTTATCTTCGCTCTCGTTTACCAACTAAGGTGAACTCGAAATAGCATTCAAGCATATCAATTGACGAGCATAGAAATTAGTTTTAGAGTTTTCATCATGAAGTGATATCATCGATGATGTAGGATTGCTTTCTTAGCTACATGTATATATATTTGTGAATGATATTTGGTTTAAAAATGTCAAATCTTAATAATTTATCCATAAAATTCAGTGCTTCTTGGTTAATTTTTGTTGCAAGGTATTTTAGAGTTCGAATTTACACTTTTCTTACAGTCTTCATTTTGATACGTTTTATACTGTCATTTCTACTTAATTAATTATGAATAAAAGTAATTGTTAACCTTCTGCTTGAACACTAAATACTATACGAACGTAATTTTAACGCTCGTTTTATGTAACATAAAATAAAAGTAATTTATGTTTAAGTTACTTTTAAACATAAACACTTCTGTGATTTACTTTAAGAGAAAATTCTTTATTTCCGATCTAATTGCTTAGTTTGTGACATAGATGACACCAATTTTTAAAAAAATTTAGTTTTGTTAAGAAGAGATGCGAAAATGTAACAGATTGTTTAAAATTATAATCTTAGATGACAAACAGAATAGTGTTCACCATCATTTAAATGAGAGTATGCAGTATCCTATTGTAAGTTAATTTTTATCAACATGATACAAAGTTAAAACAACAGAATAGCACTGCGATCGACAAATATATCCATCTGATGAGAACTACATGATCTACGTACTTCCGTTAAACAGCATCCAACTTGCGTCACTTATGGCGTAGGCAAGATATCCGTTTGCTAAACAAAAGATGAGTCTATTGCACAGCAGTTCTCTCCATCCTACTATATGGATGCTAAACATTGTCAGTAAGAGTAAAGAATATTCGTAGGTTACTGGTTTTCGAATGTAGGTAACTTCGAAGCATTGCCCGTACATCTTGGGAAAACCGAGTAAGCAATGATGTTGTTTGGAAACGGGTATCAGGTGAGGATGGAATATCGGTTGATGAAGTATTGAGACTGTATCAGTTGAGGTGGTTGGGACATGTGTTACGAATGTCCAACTATCGACTGCCTTTACGAGCGATGTATTGTGGTGTAGGAGTTGGTTGGAACAACGATAGGGGTGGCCAGACTGGAACATGGCATACACATGAAATCACTAACAAGTGGATTGAGTCATGTTAGTAGGTGTCGATTACCTTGTTGGGGTCCATGAGACGATAGTAACCGGTGGTTAGAGAGGTTGAACGATATGGCTCAAAATGGTTTGCATTGGCGCAGGTGCATCCACTGTTTGTGTTATCTCAAATTCTAATCTTCTGGATTCGTTAACATCTCTGTCTTTCTCTTTCTAAAT